ACTCACATGGCCCGGCCCTGCCCAGCCGGCTCCTAGAGCACACGCCTCCAATACAAAGAGCAGCACGCACAAAAGCCTAGCAACTCGTTGGTGCTGCTCACCCGGGGCAGTCTCAAACTGCTGCTGTCTCTGGCGGCTGGTTCTTCTTGGGGTTCCCCTGGGGCTCCCCAGGGCAAACCAAGGCAGCCCTGGCTGTGCCCAGTGGCAGGGGCCCCCGGCCCGTCATCCTGGGGGGCCTAGATGCTGGGGCTCCTGATGGCAGCTCAAAGCCCCTTCTTCCAACCAGGCCCCGGACACTCGGTGGCCTCACCCGCACCTGGCCGGGGGGTTGCCCACCCGCCTGCCTGGCCCAGAGTGGCTCTGGCCCCAAAGACCTGGGCGTGAGGCGAGGACGGGGCAAAATGACAGGCGAATGCCGACCTTGCTACCCAGATCGGTTATGTTTGGTGGAATCCCAGTCCGGCCTGGGTGAGCGAGAACTCACCACTTAGCCACATGGTGTGGGTGGGAGCAGCTTGGCTCTGAAAGGCAGGCAGAGAAAGACTGACAGGGCCGCCGGAGCCGTTGCCCGGGTGACGGGGACACATTGATAAAATCTAAAATGGAACCTCGATGACAGCTGCTCATTGGCTGCTGGGAGGGGACTCCCGCCGCCAGCCAGGGAGGGCAGGAGGGAGGAGAGCCGTGGAGCTGAGGGGCCACGGGCAGCCGGGGGCTGTTGGGCGGGAACGAGGGGGCCACGGGCAGAGTGGGTGGCTGTGTGGCCCCAGGACCTGGCCGTCCCAGGCGACAGAGCAGAACCATGCGGCCTGGCCTCTCTCCCCATCCCTGCCGGTGGGTCCTGCTTCTGCTCTGACCGCTCTAGGGATCATTCCCTACACACCAGCCACAGGGACCTTAAAATGTCACTCTTCTCCATACCCTCATGTGGCCACATGCCACTCTCAGAAGAAAGGCCAAACTCCTGACCGACAAACTGGCTCCTGCTGGCCGTCTGACCTCTCTAGGCTCCCTACCCGCAGACACCCGCCTCCCCTTCATGTCCCCTAATCCACGACACCCTTCGGGCTTTCCCATGCAGTGCTCTCCGCCGGAGGAACCCCCTCCTCTGGGGCAGCAACTCATCATCCATCAGATATCACCTCCAACACCTCCTCAGAGCCTCCTTCACCCCGCACCCTAATTTGCTCCCCTGGACGTGCCCTCCTCCGAAACGATCCTGGTTACTTATTTACCGCCGCTCTGAGCTGGCTGCAGCACGTGCATCTCCTGGGCAGGGCCCCCGCCTCTCTCTCTTTTCACCGCCCATCCCCCAGCTGGGCCCCAGCTGGGCCCACCACAGGCACCCAGTCATCATTAGTGGAAGGAACGAAGGAGCTTGGGTAGCAGAATGGAAGGGTCTTAGCACACGAAATGCCCTCCTACGAACAGCACACCCCCCGCCCCCCACTCCAGGTCCCTGGTTGGCTCAACATCGTTTACACAGTGGTGGTCCCGTGGGGTCCTTACGACCCTCCCCTGCTCGGAGATGAGGGAACTGAGGCTCAGAAAAGACTCCGTACCATGCATGAGGGGGGACATCCAGGAGACGGCAGCCTGAGATGGGAGCTGGTGCTGAGTCAGGCTGCCAGGTTCCTGGGGGCTTGATCCCAGCCCCACACTCTGACAAAGCCAAAGAACAGAGTCACCTGCGCCAGGAGGGCATTCTCTGGCATTGGCACGCATGCTGCTTCTAGAACAGTGGTTCTCAACCAGGGGCGATTTTGCCGCTCCCCGCCGCCCCGCCAGGGCCAGGTGGCAATGTCTGGAGAAATCTGGGGTTGCCACAACTGGGGAGGGGTGTGCTACTGGCATCTAGTGGTGTGTAGATGCTGCTCAACATCCTCTGATGCACAGGATGGCCCCCACAATAAAGAACAATCCCTCCCCAGCTGTTAGTAGTGGTGAAACAGAGAAACCCGCCCTGGAGAGTAACTCGCCTGGAAATATCCCATCGTGGACAGTTACAACTGGAAGAGCATTCGAAATGGCTCAGTCCAAGGCTCCTATTGTACAAACAGGGAGTGTGAGGCCCAGCCAGGGGAAAGGGCACACCCAGCATCATCAGTCTGCGCCCAAGCTGGACCCAGAAAGCCCCGCACTGTCCGGGGCTGGGGAGACACGAGCCGCTGGAGAACCGGGCTGATAACAGCGGGGCAGATGGGGAAGGAGGGTGACAGTGGCCATCTGCCAAGGGTGAGGAGCGTGTCTGCCTGTTTGCCAAGGTAGCACAGGCCTCGTGAAGTGCTGCCCCGCCCCTCTCCCCCCACCAGGACATCAGCTTCCCTCTCACGCCTGTGGCAGAGGAAGCCGGCTGTGCCTTTGAAAGGAGGCAGTTGCTGGCTGGGACCTTTGTTTCTGAATTCCCAAGCTGTGAATGGGGCCTCCAGAACCTCCGTGGGATGGACGGGCAGAATGGCACCTCTTCCACTGGGGCCTGAGGGCCAGGTTTCCCCGAGGCTCCCACAGCGCTGCCCCACAAAAAGCGCACGGAGGCCAGGTGCTGGTGGGAGAGGCTTGGTGGGGGCCCTGGGTCCTGGGCCTGGGTCAGACACCAATATTCCTCTGGTCTCTGCATCTCAGTTTTCCTCATCTGTGAAATGAGAACATTGAGCCTGGCTCTGCCTGTGCCCCAAGGCTGCCGTGAGGGTCAGCAGTCAGGATGCATGGGACTGCACGATCACAGATCCCAACTGGCACCTGCCCCTTTTCTGTTCCTCAAATGGACCAAGCACGTTCCACCTCAGGACCTTTGCACGGGCCATCCCCACTGCCTGATGCTCTTCCTCCAGTCACGTGGCTCACCTCCACTTTCCTTCTGGTGTCTGGTTAAATGGTCCCTCCTCACAGAGGCCTCCCCTGACCACCCTGTTATCACTCTCTATCCTCTTCACCCGGATTTATTTTTCTTCATAGAATTTACCACCACCTGACATGGTATTTTAAAGCCCGATTCCTTTGTTTGCTGCCTGTCCCTCCGCCTGACACAGCATCTCAGCAAAGACAGCAACACTGTTCCCCACAGTATCGCAAGCACCCGACACCCATAGGTGCTCAGGAAATAAGGGCTGGGTGGAGGAGGGGGAAAGGGCAGAGCTAGGGGGTCCTGCTGTCTGCTCTGACCCCTAGCTTGGTCCTCTAGGGCTATGAAGACACTGGGTCATTGGCTTCGAGGTCAAGTGTGACCAGCCTTGGGGGTGGTGGTTACCGTGGCCGTTTCCTGACCATGACCTCCTGTCTGGTCTGGTGAGAGCTGGGTCAGGGTCAAACCTGAAGGGAGCCGGGGACATGTGACAGCCCCTCCCCAACCCCCAGACACTCGGGGACAAAAGCCCCATGCACCCTCCCTTCATTCTAGAGCCTTCCCCGCCTGGCCCTGCGCAGAGTGCTGACTCGGGGCTGGCAGAGCAGATAAAGCGGCGGGGAGCCACACTGCTGGGTGGTTTTCAGAGAAACCAGTGGCTCAGCGTCTTTACAGCAGTTTCGTGACCGTCTCACCCTGGGCTCGGCCCGTTCTGCCACAGACACCCACGCACCTGCCCAGCACCCCGGGCCAGCCAGGCCGGGCCGTCCGGCGGTGAGCACGTGAAAACGCAGTGTGGCCGTGGGGGTGTGGGAGCCCGTGCGCGGGCGGGTGCGAGCAAGGGGCTGACCGCATGAGGAATGGAGCGTGCGCGTGTTCTGGACGCAGTGTATGTGACGGTGCCGGCGCAGTCCCAGGAGCTGTGGGCATGAGGAGGCGTGTCCACGCGGGCGAGGAGTGTGCTGTGGCCTTGGGGAGTGTTCACAGCATGCTCTGCTCACCGGCTGAGAATCCTGAACAAGTGACTTCTGTAAAATACTAATGTATTCGTTCCGTGCGGTGGTGAGGAGCTGGGTTACTGTGGACTTTTGTCACATGTGCCCACTCCTGTCAGCATCACATGTGGCCGTGGCCATGGGGCGTCCCCATACAGGATTATCTGAGTGTGGGAGCTGCTGTCCACCCCCCAGGGGGGCTGCCAGCACCACGACGGCTCGAGGAAGCAGCACCCCGATGGTCACCCCTCTGCCCTCCTCAGAGCCTCAGGCAGCCTTAGGCCTTCAGAGCCGGTGGCCGGGACCATCCCATCCCAGCGGAGCATCCGTGGCTCTTGCCCCAGCACAGGGGACCCAGGCCCTGCAGTGTCTCCAGTGCTGGGGCTCAAAACCTCATGGGCTTCCTTTCAGGCTCCCCAGAGGGACTCAGCTCGGCCCGACCCTCTGCCTCACCCCTCCTGGCTCTGCATGCTGGGCCACATCCACCCTTGCGGATCGTCACCAAGTACGCCCCTTCTTGGCAGCGCCCGTTTCCCACCCCTCACAAGGACCAGCCTATTTCTAGTCAACGAGGCCAGTCCCCTCCTCCCTGGCTCAGGCTGCTACGTCAGACACGGCTCCCCACGCCAACACCACTCCAGGACCAGCGGCCTGTGACTTGTCTTTTGTGCCCCTGGCCTGTGAGCAGAGACTGACTGACTTCCGATCCACAGGACCTTCCTCAGTGTCTCGGTCTCCAACCCTCTCGTGTAAAGTTAGAGAATGTCTTTTTCTGAAGACATCTTATGGAAATGTCAAGGTACAAAACACATGTGAAGGCAGAGGCCCTCGGACAGCCCCGCTCCCACCAACTACCATCCGAAAACCGACAGAAAGCATCAGCTTCGCCCTCGGGTCACTGCCCTGTTGTCATGGGAACTGGTGGCCACAGGCTGGCCCTCAGAGGGACCCCAGCCTTGGATCTCAGAGGAACCATTAGCTGAGCCCTAGTCCTCTGGGGACCATTCCTCCCTGGACTGGTTCTCAGAGGATGTGTCAGCAGTACCTCTGCTCCCTGGGGAGGTTTAGGGCTAAACGGGGAGACTGATTTCCCATGATGCCTCTTGGGCCCACCCTCGGTGCCGATGGGAAGAGCGGGCCCAGAGGAGAGGGAGAGACAGTACCTGTAGGGGTCAGTGGACAGGCTGCTTCCGGTCTCCAGGGAGCTCCTGAGGCGGCAAAAGTGAGACAGTGTTACCCATGACCCCCACACGACAAATGCTCCGGGGCTCATGCCAGCTCAGGCCACACTGGGTGGACCCAGGACAGGTCCTGGGGTAGGTGAGCAGCCCTGGGAAACGTGTTTGGCCCCCACATGCAAGAAACCATGTGCTTTCTTTCTCTCCGACAGGTCAGTGAGAAGCTGCCCTGTCTCCATGCCACACGCCAGTTCGGAGAGCTCAGTTACAAAGGACCCTTGGCAACATCGAGTCCAGCTACTCCCTGCTCACTGGGGAAACCAAGGCCCAAGGTCCCACAGGGAGTCTCCCAGCCTGAGGCTCCTTGTAGCCAGAGACCCAACGGGGGCCTGGGCCTGCCACCTTGCACCTCTGCCCCCTGGCCCTCTTGCCACTGACCAACCCTGCCCCTGCACGAGCTGGCCCCTGCCTCCTCACCCTCCTCTCATCCTACCCCCACCTCCAACCACCCTGCTACCTTGCTGGTCCTGCAACATGCCAATCTCATTCCTGCCCCAGGGCCTTTTGCACTTGTTCCCTTTACCTAGGATGTTTGGCCCCCATCGCCACATTTGACACTCACTTTCCCCTCAGAGAGGCCTTCCTGGTGTGTCTAAAGCAGCCCTGCCCCTTATGCTCTCATCCCATCACTCTGTTTTATTTCTTTCAGAGCCCCACGTGAAAGGAGCTAAGCCATTTAGCTGTGGGCTTGTTCACTGCCTATCTTTCCAGGCAGGGTCTTGTGTGTCCTGGTCATTGTTGGCCCCACTGAGACCAGTCAATCCTGCCGCCTGCTATAAACGGTGGGTCAGAGGTGGTGAGTGCAGGTGAATGCAGTCAGAGGAGGGGAGGGAGCCCCACCCGAGGTCCCACAGTGGCCTGCGAGGCAGCCTCTTAGCCTCATCATGGCTGAGGATACTGAGGCTCAGAGCAGGGAAGCACCATGTGTCTAACAGCTCGAGACTGGGACTGGGCCAGGACTGGGACTCAGGTGTGTTTGGCCTGGGACCACCATGCTTATCCCTAAAGGGGCCTCCCCTTGGAGTCCTCGTAGACTACAGGCCAGGCTCATGAACTCCATGCCCGGAGTCCAGAGCCCCTGCACAGAGACTTGATGCCCAGCTCTGGATCTGGGCCCAGAGCCAGCCCAACCTGGGGTCAGACCCCACTCCACCCTCACTTGCTATGGGTTTGCTACAAGTCCCTTTACCCCTCCGTGCCTCAGTTTCCACATTTGTAAAAGGGGGATAAGTAAATCGTTCATGGGGGCAAATAATGGATTTGAAACGACTATGGAGAAACACAAGCCACTGTTTGCTGTGCATGGTAGCATGGCCAGTGTCCTAGACCTTTGGGGCCTTGGGGTATGGCCTGGTTCCCCCAGCACAGCCTGTCCCTGCCCTCCTGGGGAGCGGCTATTATGACACTGGACACACCCTTGGAGGCAGTGTCCCTGGACTACACCTCTCCTCCCATGCCACGCTGCCTGTCCTCCCGGGACGCCACCTCTCCCCACCGTGGCCACCTTGCGCACCCCTCCCCCACCCGATGCCTCAGAAGTCCAGGGCCCCTGCTTCCTGTGGGCCTGTGCTTGGCACTTGGGCTTTGCCATTCTGAGCCAACTCTGGGTGCTTGCCATGGGTCATCCAAGCTTCAGCCTCGGTTTACCTACTTGCCCTTAGTAGGCTGACCCTCCTTCCACATCCCCACACTGACCTGCAATTCTGGTCCAGTGAAAGCATTGCTGGTTTGCTGGATCCCATGTTCAGCGGGTTAGATTCCCCAGAACAGAGCCCTGCCCCAGGCCCCTCCTCCTTCTCCAACCCCAGCTGCAGAGGCTACAGACCAGCTCCCTTCCCCCCCGCCCCCCCCCGGAGCCAGAGCTCACTCCAGGGCTCAGCAACTCTGCCTGTGTCAACGAGGCCTTGCCAAAGCTCAACGAGAAAAGAGGACGTAAAGGGCAGTATCAGGATGCTCTCCAGTCACTTTTCCAGACTGTTCACTGTCCTGTGCCTGCTCAGGTGGGTGATGGCTTTTCCAGGGGGAGAGAGGGCGGGGCTGGCCAGGCAGGCCTTACCTCCCTCCTGAGGCAGGACCCCATACTGGGAGTGGCAAGGAGCTCCTGCCTTCGGGAAGTCCCTAGTCCAGACAAGGGGACCCAGCGTTCAGCACCTCTCCCCCAACAACTGGCCCCTCAGATGCAGATGTGCCATGGGAGGAAATACCAATATGATGTGACAGGGACACAGCAAAGTGATGCCAAGATGCCCAGGCACAGAGCCACTTGACACAGCACAGGGATTCGGCTCCCTAGATCTAGTCCTGCTCTGACTACATTATGAGAACCTGGCAACATCCCAGCCGGCCACAGAGAGCCCACCTAGTGCTAGGGGCTGTAGCCACACACGTCCTCATCTAACCCTTGCACAACCCCCACGAGGCACAAAGCAAGTGCGGCTCAGGGGCCCTGTACGTGGGACACCATTCTGTTTCCTGCCTCTTTAGCCTGTAGCAAACTCCTATTCACCCTACAAAACCTTGCTCAAGGGTCAACTCCTCCTTGCAGCCTTCTTTGCCAACCGTGACCTCCTAAGCAGATTGCTTCCTTCCCTCCTTCCTCCTTTCCCCTCTCCCTCCTGCCCTTCCTCCCTTGTTCTCTCTCCCCCTTCCCTAATAACAGCAAATCTATTTGGAGCAGCTCCTCTGTGCTAGGAGGCACTGCCGTTAACACTTCCCGGTATCAACTCATTTAGTCCTCGCTGGAGCCCGCGAGGGAGTTACGGTGACACGTCACCATACTATGACACATGGCTCCAAGATGTCGAAGCGTCCACGATGTTTTCCAGCCAGACAGCACTGTCACTGAAGTACACCTATGAAGAGGGGGACTGTCTTCTGAACACGACCTGCCCCCACAGGGCTGAGGGGCCTTAACAGTCACGCAGGGCTGACCTGGCCTGCCGTGGCCCAGCCCGAATCCCTGTGGCAGGTAGTGGCCTCTGCCTGGGCTCTCCACTCCTCCTCACCCATGTCTCTGCCCAACCCCAGGATCCCCTCGGTAGCCTGAACCCCTCGGCAACACCCCTCCTGAAGTCTCATTGACCCTCCAACAGCCCAGCTAGGACTGGCTGTAAGTGGAGACCCTCTCTCCACCACGTGCCCTGCTGGGTCCACGCAGCCTTGGCGCCACAGACTGAGGCCCGTTCTGCTCACCACTGTCTGCTGCTCAGCCCGGCTGCCAACAGGAGAGGCTCAGGCCAGAGCAGGGAAGGCCTAGAGTGAGGGTGTTTGGAGACCACGAGAGGCCGCCTGGCTGAGCATACCTGCATTTGGAACCAACCACCTGAGCTCACACCACAGTTCCAACCTTGGTGGTGACAGAAACCCTAAGCCTCGGCCTCCTCCTGGAACAAGGGGCGGCAATAACATCACATGGATGATGAGAGGAGAGATGAGAAAGAAAAAGTGTTTTGTAAACCAGAAAGCGCCAGTGCATGCATATTTGAGGTACTCCTACAGCTATTATCATACATGTCAGAGTGTATATTGAGATGTCAGGCCTTAAACGTTCAAACATGAGTTCTAGAGCCAAGAGGGCCAGGGTTCAAATCCTAGCTTTGCCACATACTAGCTGTGTGACCTAGGGCAAGTTAATGAACCTCTCTGTGCCTCAACTTAGTCTCCCCAACTGTAGTGTTTTGGGAAGAGGCAACTGGCTTACACATTTAAAGGCACTTAGAACGGGGCACCTGGGTGGCTCAGTCGTTAAGCGTCTGCCTTCGGCTCAGGTCATGATCCCAGGGTCCTGGGATCGAGCCCCGCATCGGGCTC